AGTGGTTATATATGCAATCTCTTTATTATTTCAAAGTAAATCATTTACATTTCAAACACAAGTCAAGGGTGATAGCCATCAGTGGCTCACTGAGGAAACGTCAGGTCTTTAGAGTTCAGTTGTGTTTTTACTGGTAAAAGTGCAACTTATCTTTTCAAGGTAAGAAAAGTAGTAGAGTATTCTTTTATTCCAAAACACAACTAACAAACGATAGAACGATAACTCCTCAACTGAGAACTACAGATTGAACATGACGACAACAACTTACTGTGAGTAAACCAGCATTGGGAGGAGTCATTGTATGGTGATGCAAGAGTCATCAGAAATTATCTGCACATCCAAATTCCTGGTGAAGTCTCCCGGCTGGGGCAGAATGACCTGACACACCCTGCTCACCGGGAAGTTAACCGGGCTGGACTGGGGGGGTGGAGGCGGTCTTTTAGTGTCCACCGCGTAGCTCCAGTGCTGACCCGACCGCCGGTACTTTGCGATGGCCGCTGCCAGGATCTCCTGGGAGATCGCGAGAGGTTGCTCTCGAGCCAAGGCCTGATCAGCAAGGAGATCCAGGAGTGAATGAGCCGGAGCAGCAGAGGCGCCGCTGACCGGGGGTTCACCGGACTCTGCGGGCGTAGAAGAACCGGCAACCACAGTCACCACGCCTCCTTTTTTAGCCTCAATACTTTTCAAGGGAGCAGCTGCCTTCTTCCCAACATCAAGTGAGATAGAGCTGGAAATATTTGAGGCTTCAGGAAAGACATCCGAGTCTTGGGGGAGTTCTACTTTCTGTGGTGGAGCTCCCTGGAGAACGTCCAACACTGTGGAGGCACCGCAGATGGACGACTGCTTCTTATCTGGTCTGGTCTTCTTTATTCTGAGCAATCAAAATAACTTTTATTTGGACATTTGTTGACACATTATTTAGTCCTGGTGCACACGAGAGGATTTTCAACTTATTTTACAAAACTAGAGGGACCACAGACATGACAGATTTAACCGATTTTAAATCTTGTAATTGTCAAGACACGAACACTGGATGATTTGTCCAGAACCTAAGACCACGATTTCTCCTACTCAATCAGTAGCATTAAACATTATTTTGTAATCCCAAAATTGGCCCGTTTATCCTCTAGTGTGCAGTAGCCCTCGTAAAATTAAAGTTGCAGCGGGAACTCTACCGATTTATTCTACTTACGGCAATGAAGGGAAGAAGCCTAATAGTTTCCTGCTCTCCCGTATCAGTGCCCTGAAAGAAAATCCAAAGGACAGTTATGTCTGCATGTAGAATCAGGTGAAAGACATGTAGGAATAAAGGTGGGTGTGAATTTGCTCCGGTATCTCGTACCTAGTTTGCATCCAACCCTTCGGCCAAAGAGGTTTCACCTCATTGTCCAGCAGGGTCTTGAGGTACTCCTCCACCTCCTGGTTCCCGTTCTTCTCCTTTTCATATCTGTCCATTTTCGGCCTCAACACATGACACAGACACTCCCTGCACCCAGGAAAAGAATACTATTTAGTTACTTAATCATTTCCAGCTTCATTCTTCACAATGAATGATCTTTAATTCTGACCTGATCTCCTCGTTCCATTTGAACAGCTTCTTCGGACCTCCTCTCTTCAAACTGTCCTCTGGGGCTACGTTTATGTTCTGATTGCCCTCAGTCCCGTCCTCTGTTGCCCTGACATCCACATGTCACAGTTCAAATCAAGATATA